AGGCAATCTTCTCTGTGGAAAGCGCATCGTCGTGTCTGTCATTATACCCGACTGTACGAGGCGATCGTACTCGCGATTGGCCGTACCTGCCAATAGTTGGTTTCAGCATTATTGACAGCAGGTCGCGTCGTAAAATATGAATACACGTTGCACCGAGCTGCCTGGCGTGCTTGTCACACACGACACAACGCGATTCGCGATAAAGTATTTAGGTGCCCGCCGCATACGTACGTGTGCGCTTTTGCCAATTAAAAGCCACGCCGGCGAAACGAAACGAGAGACAATCTGTGATCTGGCACAAGTGATATATCGTGCTATAATTCTTAATCGCGCAACGCGCAGCGACCCTCGGAGTTTCTTTAGTGCCAAACTTGCACAATGACAGCACCGTTGTCCCAAGTCGCAGAAGCGAATGCTTATTTACCGGACCCCCGACATTAAAATCGGATGTCGTTGAGAAATAAATCCGAGCGAGCAAACACTGCCAATAGGAGACGCTGCCAATTACCATCAAATCAATTCGCTAGAGAAGTCAAATATGATAAATATATAATAAAATGATTAAATTTGAAAAAAGGAAGAAAATCATTTCGCGCGAAGCAGTCAGGTATCCAAAGTTCGAGTTTCATCAACTTCCTACGCGGATCCGTCTCTGGCTGGCCGTCTCTCCAATCTGATTCATTTCCCTGCCTCCCCACCGCGATCGCTTCGTCTTCGATACGTCGACCGCGTACGTCGATATAATACGCCGTAAAAGTTCGTCCGTCGTAATAGAAAAGGAGAAGATATCGCACGGCTGTGACCAATTGATCGGCCGATCAATTGTTCCATCGCCCGCTGCTTGCTCGCGCTGCGAGCCCGACTCGAAGACTCGAGGCGACCTAATGCGCTCGCGTGACCATCGCATACGTTTCTACATGCAAAAACGCAGGTATGCGGTGGCAAATAGTTGAGATATTGTGTCACAATGTACACTGCGGCTATTGCGGTTCTCGTTATGCGGAGGTCTCCTATTCTTCTCATCGAGGGAAACTGTCGGCGCTCGAAAACGCTTGGACGCCGTCGTGCCAATTTCATAGACTGGCGGAGCCTCACGAACTGACTGATACCGGCAGGCAATCGTCCCGAAAATCAATCGCGTTGTTCGAGGCAAAAATCCTTCTTCGAGAGATTAATCGCCGATTAACTCCGACGATGGCTCTTTGCGATCGATCGATGCATCCATCAGCGCGGTCAATTAGATCCATTCCTCCTTATCGAGTCGTATACATGATTAAGATGAAGGAACACCGAACGATATAAACGGTATCGACCATTTCGCACGTTCTAAAGCATGCGATCGTATCGGGACGCAGCAGACGTTCTTAATCGGCCCGTTTAAGGGTAAGAACAGCGAGGACAGTAGGGGGCGAGAAAGAAGAGGAAGACGAGGAAAAAGCAGAAGAAGAGGTGGGATCCGCGGTAGCGGGAGTCTCCCGCAGAACGAGAATGGACTGACCTACCTTAGGATCATCCGATCTATTCATACTTCTTATTCAGTCGTGCTCTCTCTCAGGATGCGAGACAAAAGCGGCGATGAAACAGAACCCCCACCCTCTACTCCTCCCACGTACTCCGTGCGTTGTGTTTCTTTGGCTTTGTCTCCTCTCGGATACGACTTCCGGTACTGCGGCTAGACGCGACTCTCAATGGGATGATGCGTCTTTCAGACCCGCGGTAGTTGGATTCCATGATTATTCCTGCATGGATAGAGGCTCCTCTTCTTTCCGCTTCCTATCAGTTTCACGAGTTCCCTGTTTGTCTCAACGGCACAATGCGTCGCGTGCATCCCGAGGAAGGCAGAGGGCGGCATCAATCCCGCACGAGATAAATCTCGATGTTGAACGCAACTGGTATTTTTAACGTGTGCATTTTTGGATGCTCGTGCAAGAATGCCGAATTTTAAATATCGGTTCAAGATTAATTTAGAATCTATGAGGAACACATGCGGTTTTCATCTGTACGTCCCTAAGTTGTGCCTCCCTTCTCTCTTCTTTCCTCAAGTCTCGTCTCTTGTCTGTAAGATCGCTCCTGACGGAGGGTGAATTCGCGCACGGTTGAGCCATTGTCTCGGCGACTTGTGAGTCAAGCGTTAACGGATTTCGGGTTTTATAGATTACGAGATCCGTTGAGAGCACGTACTGTTAGACTGAACTGTCGAGCCGTTTATGGAAGGGAGTTTATTATAATCACGAACGCAGGTCGCTCGTTGTGCCGAGTTAACTCGCGATGATGACAAAGCGCGATGGTTACCGACGAAATATTGCAGCGACTAAATTAATCAGTCCGTAATTCATGAAAACAATTTTAGAACACTCCTTTTGTTCTCCCCTTTCTTTCTTTTTCCTTGCAATAGAACTGAAATCTGCAAAAAAAAAAATTCCCGACAACGGAAAAATATTAATATAATTTTAATCGTGCTGTATATTTTGTACTTATAAAACGCAAAATAACTGTATTTTGTAAAACACGTGAATAATTTTATTTCGATTTTGATACGAAAAAGAATACTACTTTTCTCTTCTTGAAGCTAGTCGTTCTAATGGCCGGGGAGAAGCAAGGTTAATAATAAATCCCGCGCAACAACACGCCAGAAATAAATGAAAGTCAATGGTTCGTACTAGAAGCGAGCTCAGTGTTTTCACTGTTTACGCCACACTGTCAATGTCCTTTTATCACGTTTGGAGAGAGAAAGAGAAGAAAGAAAATGTGCCGTTGTGGATCGATATATCGTTATACAGATTTATAACCATCCGTCGAAAATTCACTCTATATCGCCATTCATGATACAACAATAAATTAACGGCGCGGCAGCACACGTTGCGCGAGCGAATCTTTTGTAGACCAAGCGATGCTGCATTGTTAACCAACACACAAAGGAAGATCGATTCGCGGTTTTGTCGGACGAGCGCACGCGTTGAACATCCAATATTTACTTCCTCCCGAAATTTCATTTCTTTTTTCCGCCGAGGAAATTCAATTCTCGAACAGATAATATTACACGACGTTTTAACGTTTCAATGAAGCGTCGCGACGCGAGCGAAGGATGATTTTAAACGTGGTTTTTTAAGATGGAGAAGAGTAAAGTCCCATCGCCACCTGCGAAATGAAATCTTCATGATTGGAATTTACCGCGCTCGCGGAAAACTGTTCCGTCCAAACGGAAGAACATTGCAGAACGAGTTGAAAACATATCGTGTCGACCAAGTATGGGCGGGACTTTCGTTAGAGCGGAGGTGGAGTGGCAAGAGGAGACGAGCAGGGTGACTAGACAAGACAGGAAAAGAAAGAATGATATCGACCTTGTTGGTGCGCCAGCGCGAGAACCGCCTACTCTTCTTCCACATTATCCTCGTTGCGTCACCACCCGCGACATCACGGACAATGACATGTTCTGTCGTCGGCGATATCGTTATCGGTAATTCGACCAATCGGCTGGCCGCCAAGTCGCCGATGTTTCGAGTGGCGATTATTACACAAGGATAAGGCGATAGGCGCGACTACGAGCCATTGTCGATGAATTGTTATATTCTCCCGCGGCAATTTACGCAAAAGTTTCGATATCATACGACGAATTAATACATCGAAGATACAAGTGTCAATATTTTCGAACACGAAGAATCGTGTTGCATCAAGCACTTCCACTTACAAGTACGAAACGTTGATGTGACAGTAAACTTTAAAGTCACTCGCGAAAACGGTGTCCTAATGTCAGTAACAAATGTGCGCGTAGTGAAAATTATTTCTGAAACGTCAGAGACTCTTCATGGCTATCATAAATCTAAAGCAGTGGTGAGATTGATAAAAAGTTTAATTTGAGAGAAAAAAGAATTGTTGGCGCAATTACAACTACGACTGGGAGCAGCGGCGTATACCAGTCGTGCAAAAGTCGTTACACCGCGCTACTTTTAGCAATGTTTCCACAATGAGCAGAATAAGCTAATGTCGATAATAAAAAATTAAACGCAACATTATGTGTGCAGTGTTTGTCACGTGAGCGGTATGTCGAGAGCGAGACCTGTCGAACGATCGCGGGTAATATCGCGGAGACTTGGCCAAGACACAAGCTCGTTTTGCAACGGACGAAGTCTTGAAAATGAGTTTTATATAGTACTCATGCCGTGGTATGCTTTTATTGCCTCGTTAAATAAGTTCCGCGGAAAGACTCGTAATGTCTTCCGTTCTGGTATAGCAGTTTCCAGGAGCGCGCGATGGAATCGGGTTTCATTTCTTGATTCCCTTTATCGATCGCGAAGATTCGCGAGCGATTCCGTCTCGCATTCCCAGCGAGAATTGATAAATATTCAAATCAGACTGATATATTTTTGCAACTGTTATCGTCTTCTGTGTGCATCGGATAATTTTAAACGCTCTGTACGCAGGGAAAAATTAAAAACGCAGGGAGAAAATATGAAGAATTTATTAAAAATATGAAATTAAAATTGTTTGAACGAATAAATAATGTTACCTTTTTTTAAGAAAAATGCCATAATCATTTTTTGCCCGTGCATGGCGAGGAAATATGTCACACATTGTTCGCGGTGCATAAAGTTTATGTGAGAAATTAAAAACCGCGACATATTTCTTGAAAGCGTTCTAAACGCTTTCATTCGTCGAGCAATTTAGATAGTAATTACAATCTCCCCGCGCACACACTTCCCCATCTGTATTTTCAGCGTATAGCTAAAATCACAAAGCCTTATAGATGGCGGTAAACATGTGTAGGTGAATCGCGTTTGTGCCAAATGCATCAATTATTATTTTTATATAATTATTTTCCTCAGAAATGATAATGTAAAATTCCATTTCTCTCACTTCCTTTCATCCACCAATACAGATTTCTCAAAAGAGGTTTATATTGTAAGATAAGAAATTGTCTCGCTTAATTCGCACGTCGCGAATGGATTATTCAATACTCGTTGCCAATGATGAAACAAGGAAGGATACAATCGCTTACTCACCCTGTGCCAATCTTCTCGCCACCGGCTTGGATCTCATCGCTGCACGACGGGTGGCGAAGTCGAAAACAAAACACTAACCGTAAGAACGTCGCTGACGGTCCTCCGAGCCATGCGAGTTTATGCACCGAGTTTATTATCCTGTCGATCGGTTCACTGTCCACCCTTCCCACCCTCTGAGCTGTCCTGTCAACCGAAAGTGTCGCGAGATTCGCGCGACGGCAGTTTTCACTCGCCGAGATCGGTCGCAGCGAAAGTAGAGTCGCGAGGTAATCGCGGATTCCTAACCGGACACGTAGTCGGAGAATAGGCCGTGTCGCGAGCGACTTCCGGTACGGACCGCGACTGCTCGCGTTCTCCTCTCCTCCACTCCCACCCGCTTATCCGACGGCACGGTAAGAGAAAAGAGAGAAGCCGGTCGATTCGTCCGGCTGGGATCCTGACGCACGTCGGATCTGTCCTCCGACAGCGCGCGGAGGAGGCTTCTCCTGTCCTTCGCGTCTCCTCCTTCTCCACCACCTTGTCCTCCACCCTCGCGACCCTCTCTCCGCGCACCAGACTCTCCCCGCGAGTCCTCCTCCCCCGTGCAACTTCCTCTCGCTCTCTCTCTCTCTCTCTCTCTTTCTCTCTCGCCACCCTCCGTCGTTCTCCCGTTTTCCTCTCCTACGCCACCTCCGTCGTTACACCTCCTGCTCTTCCGCCCTCTTCTGCCTCCTCTTCATGTCGCTACCGGTACCACTACCACTGTCCGCGACACTACCACCGCCGCCGCGGCGGCGTCGACGGCGCCTCCTCCTCCACCTTCTCCTGGCCTTCCCCACCTGCGGAGTCGACCTGGTGGCTTCCCCACCACCTAGACGACCCGGCTTCGCTGTCCACCAATGATCAGCGGCTGTCTCTCCTCCGCGGTGTGTGAGCCATGCACACGGCAATTCTCGCGACCTCTCGCCTCTTCGCTCTCGGGCTTCTGTCCTACCTTGCCCTTCTGTCAGCCGCTCGTGCAGCCTCGGAGTCGTCGGAGACGGAGAGGATGCCTGAGTGAAGCCGAGAGCCCGACTTCCAATCTCGTACTCGTCAATAACGAGACGTTACCGCGCTCGATATTTCTTCGCGGATGCTTCGGCACCCGTACACACGCTGCTTCTCGTTCATACCTCCTGCATGAACATTGTCGCAATTTTCTCTTGTGGAACGTTTATAGATTTTGGCATGGACAAAACATACCACGACTTATCGATATTCCTCTATTCACGATGTCTCACAATGCGTACTTGGATATTTAATTAGCAGCAAAGATCTTCATTGATATGACTTCGGTTTCCTGCGATACGATGGGGGTGAAGAGCAATCTGGAAGTCCTTTTCAGTCTCGTTGAGCGCAATGAAAAATTCTGCTGTAGTTATTTGCTTGATATCGTTAATCTTCAGACGAGAGACATTAAAAAGTCGCGCTTTACAGATGTGCGATCATAACGTCCACAGTAGTCTGTACTGTTTAACGTATCATATACGCTTTGATTTCTCGATGTCCATGTAGTGTCGTATTTCGTTGCATCTCTTCTTACGTCTGCTCGAACGAGCAACAGCATCCGTTAAGAACAGGTGTTCGCGCGGTCTGTGCTCGCTCATTCGCTGACGATGCCGATTACCGATCCAAGCCTTCGTGTCCAGCCGCTATCGCGGCCGATTGCTGACGTACAGTCTGTACCGCTCCGATACGAAGTATTCACCACGTGCACAGATTGTAAACATTCTTGTTCGATGAATCTATCGCGGAGCTGAATTCTCATGTTTCCGGCTGCTGTGCCCGACAAATTTTACTGACGCTCTCGAAACGCCGTGATAATTAGCGTTTACTTTCGGACACGATAGAAATGTTTGTGCAATTACTTTTATAAGTTGTTGAAAAAGATCTTTTTTCCTATATAATAAGAGGAAATGAAACATTCGCGATAACAACTTCCACGTATGACACTCAACATATTAATGCTGACATCACGAATCACATTTTTCATTTTGCATATTATGTTGCGTTTTCTAATAAAGATATACTCACAGCGCACAACGTATGCGCGAATTCATTGAGCAAAGATCTGGTGTCGATTCGCGCGTGACAATAGTTTCATCATTTTGTATTTTCATGTGATCGGCCTCATGCTATGGCGCAATCAATAATTAAACCAATGGTTAAACCGTCAGCCTTGCAATTCCAAAGAAAATGCGGAAATTAAGCGTGACATACGCAGGGATGAGACGTAGGGGTGCTGCGCGATTTTTCTCAAATTCGCTGCAGCCTCACACCCGAGCGATTCTTCTAGTTGCCGTGTAATTTGCACGCGCGGCTCTCCACCGATGACAGTTACAACCACGCTGTCGGCGAACACGTGGCACAGCGGGCAGTATCGATTGATATCCCACTCGATGCCCGAAACGTCGTCGTGTTTACCGTCTGTGGCGCGAACGCGGCACTGATTTTACATCGTTCGCAACACCCGTCGCTTTTTACGCAGGTCCAGCGACATTCCCGTCGAAATTGTCATTGAACCCCGACCGACCACCCTTATATCGGTCAGGTCGACTGATGCCCGAGCCGCGCGATCCACAACGTCGGGCGAAACGTACAGTTTGAACAGGTGGGGTACGTTCAGGAGAGAGATCGGGGAAACTGGTCGAGTGGAGGTCGCGGCGCGACGACGTCGAACCTCGACGGGCAACTCGCTTCACGCCAGCACTTCGACTTTACATTTCTGGGTGCGTTTGCTCGACTAAGCGTCCCTCCTCTCCGTCTTCGTCGCACCTGAACTCGACCTCCGACCCCACGAACGGCCACGTTCAGCGCGAAACGCGCCCGCGCACCCTTCCGGGCGCAGCTCCGCCCTGCTCCTTCGTCCTTTCGTACCCAGGATCGGCTGCTCCTCATCCCACCTTTTTTATTTCCTTTCGCTTCATCCCGCCGTGTCGGCGCGATCGGACGAGACAGCTTGTTCCGGCGAGACAGAACTCTCATCGTTTACGGTAAACGTCTCTCTCGCGTATACGCGCGTGTATAATGTTCAATGAATATTTCATCAATCGATCGTGAATGTCTCTAATAAATAATAAGCGACGATATCCATTCGACGCGTGATTGCAGGTAATAATACAGCTGCTCTTATGGCGGTTCTTGCAAATTGAGACAATGCAGAATTTCGCACGGAATTCGCAATAATGAGCGCTACAGACTGCGGCAAGCTCGCTGGTGAAATTTGCCGCCCGAAAGGGACAAGAATAGCCGAAACGCGCCGCTGCATCATTCTCCCGCTATAATTACGCGCGTATGATCGCGCGTACGAGCCTTTCGAATCGTAAGGACTCGTTATTTTAACGAGAACTGGCGACTCTCTTATTGTCGGCCGGTTCTCGCTGCCCTCCGGTTCTTGGCTCTTGTGGCGTGCGCGCAGTGCAGAAATATCGCGGCGAATACGCGACGCGCGGGCCGCCGCCGGTGTGTGCGGCCACGCGTTTATTTTCATCCTGGAAAATCGTAAAAGACCGCCGCCGTCGCGCGCGCCGGCCGCGTCTCGCGTCGTCGTCGAGGAAACGACGAACACGAGCGGCGGCTTCGAGGGGTTACGGTTATCGCCGCGACTCGTTGCTCTGCCAGATCAAAGGATCCAATCGCGCAGCTCGTTCGCGCCAATTCTATTTCCGCGCGCGGGATTCCACCGAAAAAACATTAGAAACATCGAGAAATTCGAACGAGTTTCGTTGGATTATCGGAAACGCGACTAAGAATTGTCGTTGATAGATACACGGACGAATTCGCACGATTCGAGCGAAATCGGCACGAATCTAGCACGAGGATATTTTCCGTTAAGATTCGAATGTGTCAGACTCGCTCTCGAACGGTAACAGCGGCGGCAGCAGTAGTTCGTCACGCGGAAACGTTCCATTCCAATACGGAATCAGTAGCGAGACAAATGATATTTATTACGTACGGTCGGACTCGCTTCTTTAGATCGTCGATCGGTGATTCGCGACGGATTAATCGAGGCCACCCGCTCGAGCCCCGCTCGGAGCCTCGCCGTGTCATTGCGATTCATTAAACGAATCATAAATTCTGTCCCTCTTAAATTTCAAGTGACTTGCTCTCAAATTATTACAGGGTGTCTGACAATTTCCTACGGAGTATGCGGATGGGACACATCAGTCTGAACAAAAAAGTCGTCTCCCAGCATTTTTCAAGCAATCACGTAAAATTTCGAGATATTAATGAAGAAAGATTGGCGAATCAGAAAAATGCTAGAGGACATTTTTATTGAAATTAATGTGTTCTGCCTGCACACCATGGCCCCGCAGCGAATTAGTCGGACACCCCATATATGTATAGAGGGAGAATCGCGGCACGAATGACGCGTGAATAAAGAATCTCAAAATCAGAATCAATTACGGAAACTTTCGACTGCGCCGATTTTATTATTTTTTTTCCCGCACGTTTTTCTCGCCCACCTTCCAATCACGCGTATGAGCACGCACAATCAAATCGCCCCGCCGTTCATCGGCGATCCCCGACATGTATTTTCACCTTCGCTCCAGTTCGGAGCGTTTATTCTCCGCAGCCGCACGGCCGCCGAGACCATTTCGCATACTCTCATCCAGCGTCCGCGCTCCTCCTCTTGCGACATCATTTTTCTCTCCATTCCATGGTCCGCCTCTCCTTCTCTTCCTCTCGGTCACCTCTCGCGTCACCTCTTTTCTCCGCGGGACTCTCTTTGTTTCCCGCTGCACGTGCTCCACCCGCGCCATGGTGCACGGGTGAAAAACACGAGCGAAGAGAAGGAGAAAGAAAGGGGCCGAGTGCGAGCGAGAGAGCGGAGTATAAAAAAGGCGTAAAAAAAGGAGAGAGAGAAAGACAGAGCGAGAGAGGGAGGACCAGGTGGGAGGAGGATATGTGTGACTTCATAAGGCATCCATATTCAAATGGATATAGTATTGCGTGTGCGTGCTGGTCGCGTTATGCATTCGGCCGACGAGAGGCAGGTGTTGGTCGTTGGTGTTGGTGAGGGTCAGCTCACGCGCGTACGCGATCGCGTATCCGTGTATGCGTATCTGCGTGCGGCGAGAACGCGCGCACGTTCTATGCGCGAATTGAATACGTGCTTGTCAGTGGCGTAGGAACGGCGGTGAGTCTCGATCGTTGATAAGTATCGACACAGAACCAGAGCGAGGTGAAGCGTCCGCGGATTTATTAAAGACTTTCGACGTGCGCGTACGGAAGCAATATGAGCGTCGTCCGACGAGAAATGGCGTAACGATCGCCTATTGGCCGATGACATTGTTACATAATTAATGCTGAATAATTAACAGCGACAACGCGAGCGACGAATATTCCGCGTAGCTTGCGAGCGATGTTTACGTGGAAAATGAGAGAATTCGGGCGAGCGTGCAGTCCGAGAAATAATTTTGCCGAACGTAGATGTTCGTGATCTCGCTCTAATCCGACGATAACGCGTTCCGCTCGGCCGAGACGCCGATTTCTCGAGATCAAAGATTTCGCGGAACGTGACATGCGGCCCTGCTGCGTTGTGTGTACTCAGTATATTCAATTAATCTCCCTCCTGACGAGCCCTCCCAGCGTGGACTTTACGACCTCCATGGCGAAGAAAGGGCTCGAAGAGCGCACCGCGATCCGGGCGCGAGCTTTCTGTCACGTTTAGCGCACAAAAGATAGCCTCGCGCGAGTGTTATTCTCGGAAATAAAAACACGCGGATGTGTACGCGCGAATCATACGTGAAATTATATTCCTCGAAGCTCCTTTGGTCGCGTCCTTTAGTTAATTTCTCACACGCGAAGCCATGTTGCGCTCTCAGTTATTTTACAGCTCGACGAAAAATTGTAACGTAATAAATAAACAAAACTGACTCGAGACCTCGGTGGGTCTACTGACGAAAAAACAGTATCGAAAATCCCGTTTTCACATGGACATTGGGCTCGTACGGAAGAAGCGTATGATTCGATTTTGGTCAAGGACCACTGAAATGACGAATGGAAGGACCAGTTCTCGGAGTAGTCCCGCACGACCACTGAGCCGTCGATCTCGATATTACCGTGCAGAAGGAGAGAAAGAAGGTCGATTCGGCCACTTCCGTGAGAAGGAGCGAGATCGAGCTGCGGAGGGACGGAGGGAATACGCCGTTAACGGATGACGTATATTAGGGATACTCTGGTCGAGTAGGGTACCCAAGGATCCAGGACCCTCCCTGTCCTTTCGCTGGCTATAAAAACCACTCGCCTTCCTTCTCGACCCTTAGCTAAAAGGCCAATCCGCTCTACCACTCTTATCGATCCGCAAGAAACGCGCGTTCGGCTACTCTTTGACTCGCGGACTCTCACCGAAGACTCCTCTCTATCAATCCACCTTCGTCGACGACTCACGTCTTGCCGGCCCGCGCGAACTCTCGCGTCCTC